AGGCGACGGATCGGAGGGTACCGAGTCCAGTTCGGCTTCTCAAGACTCAGCGAACGACGCTGGATTTTAGGACTTTGGAATTGTATAATTGCATAAGTTTATAATTTGGTGCCAAAATTTGCTATTGTTTTACGCAGTTTGTTGCCTCAGACACGTACTCTCACACTTCATGAAACCGGATAAGTATCCGTTAAGTTCCCTCAGTGCTGTCGTGGACTGTAAAGCTGCTAAATCCACTGGCAGAAATGTTGAAAAGCACAATACTACTTTTGGCGAAGAATTCCTTGTTGGAAATAACGATCATATGAACACATGATTTGCGTTGATTTGGACTATGGTGTCGAAGGTCAATGGCATCATAAAAGACAAAGTACGCATGAAAAGCGATCACTAGCGCACGTGAATCGTCCGTCTTGTGTCGACTATCACCGTGGACGATATGATTCATTTTCCGAAAACTGAGCTTCATGCAGTCTACCGCAACTAGTAACTACAGATGTACTGGCGCTGCAGAAAGACCTATGAGCCATTTTAGAGGTCGGCTCATGGTCTCATGATCGGTAAGGCCGTTAGTCTCCATTATGTGCAGCAGGCCGCCATTCGTCGTGCGGTTGTCATTGTCGTGCGGTTGAAAGATGTGCATTGTTGGCGCATTTGCATTGGACGAAATGATTAGACTTAAATGACCAGAAAAAGTACTACGTAATTCGTAGTAAGAGACCTCTGTTTGCAATTTTATTCGGCCTCCGCAAGAGGTTCCCGTCCGGATAACGACGGGAGTGAAAACAAAGAATTCTTTAGCCTCATCGCCCGAAGCAATGAGTGACTCTGACCACCAACGCTCGTTGTCCCCTGTTAACGGGACGGAGCGATACCGATCCCAGCCGAACGCGGCCGTCCCGTGCGCCGTCAAGCCACTACCCTGTTCGCCTCTCCACGCCGGCGTAATCCACCAGCTGTTGACCAGCGGTTTTAACCATATGGCTACGCTACCACCCCATTTACGGCGCCCACACCGACCCCCGAGGCCGCGCCATTTGACTCTCCCGCGCCAGCTGCGACACCAACTGGCGCCACCAACCTGCCCACTGTCCTCGATGATGATGACATGGGACAAGGCGACGAGCGCGGCTTCGTGTACAACGCGCCGGCGCTCGCTGACCCGCCTTCGTTCAACGGCTCGACCAAATCGGAGCGGCGTCCATTTATCCGCCAGTACAACGAGTACCTGGACCAAGTCAACGCCTTCCAGTTCAATTGCTCAAGACCCTTCGTGATGCCTGTCAGCGCGTGCATGGATGTCTTTACCAAGAAGCGTGTGGCGATGTGGGCATGGCCAACCGCGACTACCGTGGCGTCACGGAGGCAGAGTGGGCCGCATGGTTTAGCAAGGCGTTTGAAGAGGAGCCTTAAGACCTGGAGGTTCTCAAGAAGCGTTTGACCACGGCGATCCGGTTTGACACGACCATCCTGGACGCCGACTCACGGATTGGCAAGATGCTTGACAACCTGATGCGAGCCTTGGAACACGATAACCAAGCGAGGGTCTTGAACCAAGAAGGCAAGACAGTTGTCGACATCATGGTCAAGGCGATCAAGCCGCTTGGCCTGCAGAAGTCGGTCCAACGCCAGCTGGCCCTCCAACGCAACAAGCCGTTGAAGTCCAACGTGTACCGTTTCGTTGACTGGCAACGCGTGCATACCTCCGGGTACCACTTGTAGAGACCCAGCCAACCGGCGTAGCGTGGAATGAAGACAATAACCTGTTCCTCGACAAGGAAGACCGCATCTGGATCCCATCAAGTGCCACGGACCTCCAGCAGCGGTCTGCATCATAGCGCACTAAGGCACCGCGGGCCATCAACGGATCGAAGCCACGACCAAGGCCGTCCGCGATGTCTTCGCCTGGAGTACCCTCGAAGACGATGTCAAGACCTTTGTCCAAGCCTGCATCCACTGTCTCAGCATCGATGGCTCGGTGATCCCGCGCCCGCTTGGATCGGCGTTCCATGCTGAGAAGCCCCGAGAGCTAATCCACTTCGACTGGCTATCCATGCCCACGGCGACGAACGGGTGACAGAAGATCCTCGTCATTAAAGACTATATGAGCGGGTTCGTGCGACTTTGGCCCAGCGAGACAAGCGACGCCTCGGCGACCGCCAACGGCCTCCTCGACTGGTTCACGACCTTTGGGTATGTCCATACCTGGGTCTCTGACAGCGGCTCCCACTTCAAGAACGAAGTCACCGACAAGATCCGCAAGGCCACCGGCGCCCACCACCACTTCACGACCGCCTACTGTCCTTGGGTGAACGGAACCGTTGAAGTAGTCAACCAACGGATCCTCCGCACCATCAAAACGCTTACCAGCGAGTTGAAGCTGCGCGCGACCGACTGGCACCTCGTCCTGGCCCTGGTTCAAGGCGCATTGAACCACACACCGACCGACCGACTTAGCGGCATGGCCCCGGTGACCGCCTTTACTGGCCTGCCTGCGATGACACCCATGTCAGCGTTTGTCAACACCGTAACCAAGGAAGTTGCCGACATCGACTGGCTCGACACCACGCGCAAGAAGCACATGGACGAGCAGCATGAAGCAATGGAACAGGTGCACCGTGAAGTGGTTGCGACAAGCGCCAAGAAGCGACGCCAAGCCCGCGACCGCCAAGCCAAGTTCAAGGCCGTCCAGTTGCAGAAGTTTGCGATCGGCGACTTTGTCCTCATGGGCCAAATGGCCCGACAAGGCAACAAGTAGTTCCTGCACTGGCTTGGCCCAAGCAAGATCGTCCGGGTCGTGACTGACTATGTCATGCAGACCCAGCAGTTGGCGCAGCCTTACGACTTGTCCCTCCACCACATGATTTGCGTTGATTTGGACGATGGTTTCGAAGGTCAATGGCATCATAAAAGACAAAGCAAGCATGAAAAGCGATCACTAGCGCACGTGAATCGTCCGTCTTGTGTCGACTATCACCGTGGACGATATGATTCATTTTCCGAAAACTGAGCTTCATGCTGTCTATCACAACTAGTAACTACAGCTGTACTGTACAGACTATTTACGATCATTTCAACAGTACGATACGCAGCAACTATGAATGCACTATACACGAAGAATGTGTGAACTGTTGTGGTTCTGCATTGTACATTGCACGTGTATGGCCCATGATCGCATGATGAGGACAATTGATAAACAAAAGGTCTCATGCATTATGTCCATACATTCCGACGCTGGACGATCTCAATTTCACTACACTCCATCGAAGCACGCAGAACATTTACACCCACGTGTGACCTCTGGACGCTTGGTCAATGAACGCCCGGAAGGCCGCCACGCGACCATACACGTCGGGGAATCCCTTGGCGCATGGTTCACCGAAACTGACATCCCCCACCAACGCCAAACCCGCCGACGTGGACTTGATCAACGGTCCTCCCGAGTCACCAAAGCAAGCGGCTTGGCC